TTTTGGTTACACATCGAATGGGCTATAAAATCATAAATTTAAGGAAGGACACTTGTTTTATTGAACATAAAGAGTTGACATATTGAACACATGTTGTATATTCTAATATCAACTATGTTATTCATAGAGCTGAACAGGGAAGGCTGTCTTTTCTTATCCATATCAAAACCTTTTATGTTGATACACTTTCCTTTTTTGGATCTGATTTATTAGTTCAACTGCCACACCTGGTAGTTATTTCAGTTATAAAATTAACAATTATGTTATGTAAATCTCTAAGATATTGTACTTGAAAAACCAGGGAGATCTTTTGCAGCAATATCTGGAACTAAATACACATTTTTCTTCCTGTTTACTTGGAATCTAAAAGAAGTAACAAAAAAATGAATTGAAAATTAAAGAATTATTTTATTGGTATCAATAACACAAATTACATTCTCATCATTCTCTATTTGTAATAACCAAAACCTTTAAAAAATGAAATAAGAATATGCTGAAATAAATGGGAAGATTTTGAAGATATTTTTTCCTAATTACTATGGAGAGATACTGAGAATATTATTTATCCTAATCTGCTATTTTCAACTGTATCCTCGTCAATGGATGGTTGAAAGATTGTTTGCATTTTCACTGGCAATTGGAATGACACTTAAATATGAATGACCTGTTGGTGATCAGCTCCGTCCTGATTTCAGTAAATAGACTCACTACTCACAACCATCATATCTTGTCTGTTATATGAAATTGCTGTTTTCATTGTATAGGTCATGTTCTATGAAGGTTTGAAAGACGTTAAAGAATATGTAGAGCAAAGAGGGATATATAGCCCAAATTTGCGTGTTAACCATTCATTCGAGGGACTGGTTTTAGGAGGATTAGCGGGTGGTATGTGCAGTGCTCTGCTTTAAATGTTAAGTGCTGCAGTGTTCTTTGTCTTCCATAAAACTCAGTATGTTCAGTATAATTCAACAGGTCTCAGCGCATATCTTACTACTCCTTTGGACGTTGTGAAAACAAGACTGCAAGTGCAGGGTACAACTTTGAGGTATCATTTCCTTTAGTAAATATTAGACATGTTATGGTATGCGCATTGTGTGCCTGCCACCAGAATACTGGTTATATTTTTTTATTGATAGTCACAAACAGGGTTTTGTCAGTCGAGTGAGCTGAGTTGTAATATTTTTAATTATTTAAGCTAACTTTATGATAATTTTGCTTTCGAACATTGTCTTAGGTATACTGGTTGGTTGGATGCAATTTGCAGTATATGGGCCGCAGAAGGCATGAAGGGAATCTTTAGGGGTGGTATCCCCAGGATTGCGTGGTACATTCCGGCTTCAGCACTTACATTCATGGCTGTGGAATTTCTCAGAGATCATTTTAATGAAAGAGTGCCCAATGATAACTTGCGAGATGTTAGCAGATTATCAGTAGACAAGAAATCACTGCAGGAAGTTGCTTAGAAGATTCTCATCGAATCACGCTTTACTTCCCATCCAGATTTTTACGAAGAGGGGAGGAGGTTGTATATCAAAATTAAGTCATAATTAGATCCCCATTATTGTGAACATACGCAATTGCAAAGAAATCACATTCAAAATGAAATCGTAAACTTGTTCAAATTTGTGGTGGCCAATTTGTGCCAGTTCAATCTGGTTCGTCTATTCCACCAGTGAGAACCGGCTGAAACAAGTAGAAAGTTGAATATGTTGTCTTTTGAATTTGGAGTAAGTTTGTTTTTTCAACTATAAATGATTTTAGTTTTATAATTTGAAAAAAAAATCTTTTTTATTTTGTTCAAATCTTTTTTACATAGTAAATATCTTTAAAACATGGGTAATCTTAAAGTCATTGTATTTTTACTGGGTATGTTGTCGTGGGTAGCTACTAAATATGTAGGCAGTTTCTTTCTACACCCCATCATTTTGTTTAAATCTATTTCTACCCTTGTTTGTTTTATTTGAAGTTCTATCCTACGTGCATGCGGAAATCTAAACTTCCGCAAAATATGATCAGGAATTGGAGTGGGAAGTGGAAATTGGTTTCCATTGTTTCCGGATGCATAATATACTATTCCGAAATAGATTTTCTATGTTTCGCAAAGCAAACTAGTTTCGGAAACAGAAATTAATTTACTTCCAGGAAAGGTGAAATTTATTAATTTCGGAATTTGCTGCCCGGAAGAGTGAAAGTAAGAGAATGTTTGTTTTCATTTTTTACCATTCCAACAATCAAAAGAGTCCACAAATTCCATCTGTGAGTGTTTGCAAAGTCTCAAATTCCATTTGTAAGTGTAAGTGTTCGCAAAGTCCAAAATTCCATCTGTATTTGTTTGCAAAGTTTCAAACAATTAATTTGGAATGCATCTCAAACTGAGATAATATTCTGGAAAATATTTTCCTGAACTCATTTTCGGATTTTGTTTTCTGGAGGATGCGTTTTCTCCTATTCATTTGAAATCATTTTCCAATGGACTCTTATCGGTGTAGAAAACACAACTAACTGAGGCTTGGAACAAGATGCCACCGAAGCTGCACAACCAGGTATGAAGGTGCCGTGAAAAAAAAAATTAGGGTACAAGTAAAAAAAAGGTTAAAAGGTCGATTGTGGTATTTCATTGATGGGGTGCAGGAAGCAATTGCCAAATATATATTAGAAATATTTTACATTAAAAAATAGGTTTAAACCCTCTTTTGGTCCTCATATTTGTTGGTGATAAACTGTCAAAATTGCGTCCATATACTTGTAAAATTGAGTCAATTTTGTCCCCTCTGTTAAGTTTTTACAAACGGTGAACGGCGTGAGCTGTATTTTTTTTTTAAAATGGCGTGATATTATGTATTAAATTAATGGGTTATGTGTTTTATCATTATTTGTCTCCGGCTTTTTCTCTGTCTCCGGCGCCAATTCCTTCTTCTTCTCAATTCTTTCTTCTCAGTTCAATCTTTATTTCTCACAATCAAATTTTTCACTATGGCTCCAACCCCTTCTTCCAAACAAAACTACCCCACCCAGATGAAGACTCCACAGTCCAAGCACCGTCTCAATTTCCATGACCCCAAATCAGCACTGTAAATGCACCTTTTTCCCAACCCAAATTGTGCTGCAAACAAGGAACCCTCTTTTCCCTCGTTGAAAGTCGCTAATGGAGTTTATTTTGCTTCTGTTATTGTTCGGGTCGTTGGGTGAAGATGAAGCGAGGTTGAACACGCCCATTGTGATTTCGTTTAACGAAGGTGGAAGAGAGGTTTCGACTGTGCATAATATAGCCAACAAACATATCACATCTTATTGTTTGGATGTGGATTACTCTGGATTTTACGAATTCTTCATCCTGGTGAAAGTATTTATATTCTTGAACTTAATATGGAATGATTGAATACACAATGGAAGAAGGTGCAAGAAAAAAGGTAATCTTTTTTTCTGGTTGGGTCAAAAGAAGATGGTGGATCCGACAAGGTTGACAGTGGAAGGTTGTGGCTTAATGGTGTTGATGATTATGTAGCACGGTGGTGGTTTGGGCGAGGATGGTGGAGGGCATAGCTAACGGCTAGGGTTTCTATGGAGAAGACGAAGTTAATTGGTGGGAGAATTTTTTTTTTTGTGAATGGAAATTTCTGACGTGGAATTAACAAATAATCCATTCAATTTAATAGGCAAATGTCACGCCATTTTAGAAAAAGGACAACTTAACATCTCTTAAAGTTGTTTATCAAAACTTAACGGAAGAGATAAAATTTGCTCAATTTTACAAATATATGAACCTAATTTTTTGACAGTTTAAAAAGCGATGACCCACTTAAGATTTACTAACAAACATGAGGACCAGTTTAAACCTAAAAAATATTAGGACAATTATTTCCTGCACTCTATCATTTTCTTCCTAAATCTTATCACTTTTTTAATTTATTTTCCAGAATACAATAAACAATTTTAGAATTCTTTTTTTCCAGAAATCAATCAGCCCTCCTTTTACGGAAAACATTTGAAGCTTTTGATGGGGTAAGAGGTGAAATTTGATGGGGTAAGCTTCAGTCAAAGATTAGGTACTTAATTTGGATAGGCAATTGCTTTTTCAAAACCCATATGATTTTTTCTTGCATCTTTATCGGTGTGCTTATTGAAAGATGAAAATCACCTTAAATAAATTTATATATAACTTTATTCTGTCTCATCCTCACTGCAGCTCTCTTTGACCCGTTAGATTGCTTGATTTCACTCCCACCACCTCTGATATCTATCTGTTGTTATTACCCATTACCGTCGGTGAGGTATTATTGTGAAAGGTTAAGGTGTTCACAATTTGTTTTTTTTCTTTTGATTGTCTGATGTGCGTCATACCTCATTGTCTGATCCGTAAAATTTTTGGCTTGTAGAATTTAGAAGTGGTTTTGAATCTTGTAATCTGAGTTAATAAGTTCTTTTTGATTGTATTGTGCAATGCATAATATACTTTCGAATCTAAGTTTATTATGGATTGAACAATTACGATTGTTTATGCATAAAAAATATTTTTCAAATCTTAGATTGTACAGTTCGTTTATGCACGAATAATATCTTGTTCAATGGGTAAAATTATTCTACACCAATGCCTTATGGTAATTAACTCTTGAAAAACTATATATCGTGTACAGTCTTATATCTTCAGTTGTAATTGAGGCCTGATTCCCCTTCAATACGAAAGATCTCCAATGTTAGCGGCTTGTAGAACATTCACAAGTTGTCACTTTTATCATGGAGAAATCCTTGTCTTCATTTGGAGAAGAGATTTGTCTTTCAATTTTCTTAGAAAGACAAACTAATATTTTTTTTATCCCATGTTGATCACTCAGTTCTTTACCAATAATGAACAGCATCAAACTCAAATTTAAAACTTGCATTCTCTACATTGCCAGACAACTGTATCATTCTCTGTAATTTGTTTTAATTATTTTTCAGGTGTTTTTGTTATTTTATTTTCTAGATTAGTTATAGTTGTAGAAAGTTCCACTGGTTTATAATTGCTCCAAACCACTCTCTACTGCAGTGTAACTTACTTTATGTATTCTGATGTAGAATAGAACTGTAACAATCTTTTAGATAGAGTGAATACAATTTGCATCTTTCAGAACAAACTTCTCAAATTCGCACACAAGCTAAACCTGGAGATATTTTTAACTGGGTTCAGAAACTGAGCAAACAAATGTTGTAGTATAGTAACACCTAGTGATATTTTACTTCAACTAGTGAAGTTTGTTCACTGCACCATCTGGAAGGTCTCAAATAATGTGCTGTTAGGCCCTGATCTTCCGCAGCAAGTTTCATGAAGACGTTTTGGTTATTCTTCAAAGCCTGGAGGAACACCCAGATTGTTATCAAACTCCAATTTGGGTGTAACTAGTCCAAGGTGACAAGTTCTTCCCATCGCATCCTTCCCTCCAGACATATCAAAGTCCATATCAAGTGGCTCCAATTTAGGTACTCTTTCAATAGTTTTATCAATTTTCCTTTTGCGAAATAATCCCCACAGGAAATGTCCATCGTTTATTGCAGCAATAGCACCTGTGCACACACTAGTTGATGACATCTTTGCCAAGACAAAATGTAATAATAAATATTAGGTTAAATATGTTTTTAGTCCCTAAATTTTTGGAGACGAAATTGAAATTCATTCCTATCCTAAATTTTGATACATTTTGGTCCCAAACATTAAAAACGAATTGATATAACCCTTTTAAGTGTTAAATTGTTTTTAACGTATCAAACATGTTTCTGGCATTTGAGCTGTACACTGTTTGACTAGTTCTAGCTCACATGTCAATCTGATTAACAAGTCTAAATACATTAATGTCAAGTTTAAAGATCAAACTTTATGAAAGTTTAAGACATGAATGAATTTCAATCTCACCTCATCTCGGAACTAGAAAATATATTTAACCTTAATGTTGGTTAAGTCATGTAGACAAATTGGACAAACATTGAATAGAGGATAGGTTTCAAAAGAAAATTTTAATATTTTGAACCTTCTCTCCCTAATCTTTGATATCAAATATTCATGAAAAAGAATTGTAGATTAGAGTGTTAAGAAAGTAGTAGAGCAGATCTAATGCATGAAACAGTTTACGCACCCCTTGAGTCCATGCCAAGTTGATTTGAGGTAAACATCAGCAACTCCACTCCATTAATATAACTTCTCAGCATTGTTTTTTCATCTTTCATAAGCTTCAATATACTATTCAGGTTCATTCTTGACCTACATTGAGAGCATGTATAAACAGAATAGCTTAAACAATAAATACTGGTCCGACTGACACCAAAAGAGAAAAAGAAAAAAAGAATCAAATAAAAGTTAACCTCTCAGTTTGTTCTGATGGAAAGAAGTACAGTGCAATATCCTGAAGCTTAGGAGAATCATCTTGGAATATGTCAATCAAGACCTTCAAAGCAGGACGGGACTCCAATTGAAGAACCGATGGCATTTCTCTCGAAAATGCAAATGCTTTCCCATTAACAATGAATGGTGGTTGGGCTTCAAACCCATCATAAAACTTGGTAGGTGCAGCAGTATGAAGAATTTGGAATTGACCCCTAGAAAATGGTGAAAATGTTAAATTCAGATTAGTAAAACTGTAACCTTCAGATAATACTTGCAATAACTTCCTCAAATGATTGAGACTTGCACATGGTACCCATAACAATCTCTTTAATCACAGATTTCTATAGTTTACCAATTGTTAACATTTATAAGCTCACTACCCAACATGCCAATATCTGTCGTATGGAATTGAGTTCATTGTAAAAGGAAGGGGCAAAACATTTTTTGCAGACATAAATATTCGAAATTGAAGACAAAATAACAAAAGCACACTACAAACATGTAAATTTATTTAGTTTCTATGCACCCATGTACATAGTCATTGCTGAAACTGAAACTGATTCGAAGATGTTGTAATTCGTAAATAGTAATATATAAGATTGAAAGGAAGAGACTTTCCTTCTTATGGATCTTTTGAAGGAGGATTTACTAAAGACATAACACCAATAAAATACGAATCCAATCTAGACACAACACCAATAAAATACGAATCCAACCCACACATAAGAGATTGACACCACCTCTAATCCAAAATCTTAAATAATGGGTTTTTGAGTCTTCTTTCTTCTTTCTCACACGATACTCAATTTTTTCATCTTTACTCATTTAGAAGTATTTCAAACAACAAATACCTTTTACTTGTAGTGATATTTATCATAACGAGACACACTTACCTTACTATCTGTCAAGAAGACTTCTGATATAGAGACTAATCTAAATCGATCATATAGATTAATCACATCTTTAATACCATTGATAGATCTTTTGAAGAAGGATTACTAGGGAAACATAACACTAATGAGACATGAGCCTAACTCACACGTAAGGATTAACAATATTTCCAACCCAAAATCTTAAGATAATGGATTTATGGGTCTTATTCTTTATATGTGACTCAACTTTTTCATCTCTACTTAATATGAAGACTTAGACTCATACTTGGATTTTCCAACACATTAGCATTTCTCAACATATTCTCACTAAGGGGAATAACAATTTAAGGGAAATAGTTATCCATGATAAGTGAAGAGAGAGGTACGTACCTCCAAGTAGTAATTGAACACGGTAAAAATTTACAATCAAGGTTTAAGCTTTGCTGAATACTCTTGTCATATTTTTTAATGGTGAACTGTTTACCGTCATCATTAACACAAGGGATACCACCTATAGAAAAGAGAGAGAGAGAAACAGAGCAAAATAAAATGGAATAAAATACGAGATGATGGGTTCAAAAACCCAAAAGGTGCAGTAATACATACCATGATACACAGCAACATACATGCCCACATTTGCACGAAAATACTGAAGTAGATGCAACAAACAATTGAAAAAAAAACATCAGATATGACAGACAAGAAAAGTATCCTACCTGAGCCGACAATAGGGGAAGATTTTCTTGCGAGTAAAGCTTCAAAAGGTGCCGCTTTTGTAGGCTTCTCTTTCTGAGGATCATGGATTTGAACTTTTTTAGCAGGTGTCACTCCACCCATTGGTCGCTGGTTTTTTCCTAAACATATCTTTGATGGTCCTACAAGATCCATAGTCTCAATAACAAATCACAAACATGTGGTAAACTAGCACATCAAATGATTTTAACATTCTTTCTAAACTAGTCACGCTCTGGTTCCACACGTCTGTGTGCCAGTGGATGAAAATTAAATCTAACTAAATGTATGAAATTTGTTTAATACAATCCTGTCAAGTTATTAACATTAACAGCATTTCTATTTAATTTTATCATAAAAATACCTAAATCAGCAAAAGGGGAAGAATTTCTTGTTGATGAAGCTTCAAAAGGTGCCTTGTTTGCAAGCTCTTCCTTCAGAGAATAATAGTCTTGAATATTATGATCAGCTATCACTCTACCAAGGGACTGTTGATTTTCTTCTACACACTCCTTTGTTGGTCCTACATGAGATTCAGAAAATATGTCATCTCCTTAATTATAATAATTTGTTTGCCAAAGAATACACCAGATAAATCATGAATTGATATCAGTTGTATATAAAAGATTCCTTACCTTAAAAGGCTACGCAAATCAGGCAAAAGGATATTTGTAATGATGACAAGTAATTATCTATAAATGTTCTGATCATTATTGTTTCTTTGGTTTGATTCATTCTTCCTTTCACGTTTTCATGGTGAGGCTCGTGGTTTCTATCTAGTACCTGTTCTCTGCCCGGGATTTATGGTTTTGTTCAAGTTGCGATTTTTATTTGTGCTCACAGTTCCTATTCCTGTCGTGATTTTTGGTTCCCATTTGTGTTGTGGTTTTATGGTTGTGCTTGCGGTTTCATTCTTACTTGTGGTTCCAATTTGTGTGTGACTTTTGTTCTTGCTCGTATTCGTGACTTTTTCTTTTCGCTTGCACTTCTTCAACCTAGTTTGTTGCATTTTCGTAATGCTTCTTCACAGTTTTCTTTATTTCATTGGGACCCTGTTGCTTGGCCATCATAACAACTTCAAATAAAGACAATTTTTGTGTGTTTTAGTAACAAGGATTATGGAGTCACTTATATGGGTTTTCCAGGCCATTGATGTCTCGGAGTACAACCCCACTCTCCGCCAACTATAACCTACTCTTTTATTAACTACAATAACTACATGAGTACATTAGTGGTAGGAGTAATGTCTAACTGATGACACAACCATTTTAATTATATTAATTTTCTTTTATCAACCAACCACCTTAATTGAGGGGATGTCAATCAGCAAATCTTTTATCTCCTNTGGTTTATAATTGCTCCAAACCACTCTCTACTGCAGTGTAACTTACTTTATGTATTCTGATGTAGAATAGAACTGTAACAATCTTTTAGATAGAGTGAATACAATTTGCATCTTTCAGAACAAACTTCTCAAATTCGCACACAAGCTAAACCTGGAGATATTTTTAACTGGGTTCAGAAACTGAGCAAACAAATGTTGTAGTATAGTAACACCTAGTGATATTTTACTTCAACTAGTGAAGTTTGTTCACTGCACCATCTGGAAGGTCTCAAATAATGTGCTGTTAGGCCCTGATCTTCCGCAGCAAGTTTCATGAAGACGTTTTGGTTATTCTTCAAAGCCTGGAGGAACACCCAGATTGTTATCAAACTCCAATTTGGGTGTAACTAGTCCAAGGTGACAAGTTCTTCCCATCGCATCCTTCCCTCCAGACATATCAAAGTCCATATCAAGTGGCTCCAATTTAGGTACTCTTTCAATAGTTTTATCAATTTTCCTTTTGCGAAATAATCCCCACAGGAAATGTCCATCGTTTATTGCAGCAATAGCACCTGTGCACACACTAGTTGATGACATCTTTGCCAAGACAAAATGTAATAATAAATATTAGGTTAAATATGTTTTTAGTCCCTAAATTTTTGGAGACGAAATTGAAATTCATTCCTATCCTAAATTTTGATACATTTTGGTCCCAAACATTAAAAACGAATTGATATAACCCTTTTAAGTGTTAAATTGTTTTTAACGTATCAAACATGTTTCTGGCATTTGAGCTGTACACTGTTTGACTAGTTCTAGCTCACATGTCAATCTGATTAACAAGTCTAAATACATTAATGTCAAGTTTAAAGATCAAACTTTATGAAAGTTTAAGACATGAATGAATTTCAATCTCACCTCATCTCGGAACTAGAAAATATATTTAACCTTAATGTTGGTTAAGTCATGTAGACAAATTGGACAAACATTGAATAGAGGATAGGTTTCAAAAGAAAATTTTAATATTTTGAACCTTCTCTCCCTAATCTTTGATATCAAATATTCATGAAAAAGAATTGTAGATTAGAGTGTTAAGAAAGTAGTAGAGCAGATCTAATGCATGAAACAGTTTACGCACCCCTTGAGTCCATGCCAAGTTGATTTGAGGTAAACATCAGCAACTCCACTCCATTAATATAACTTCTCAGCATTGTTTTTTCATCTTTCATAAGCTTCAATATACTATTCAGGTTCATTCTTGACCTACATTGAGAGCATGTATAAACAGAATAGCTTAAACAATAAATACTGGTCCGACTGACACCAAAAGAGAAAAAGAAAAAAAGAATCAAATAAAAGTTAACCTCTCAGTTTGTTCTGATGGAAAGAAGTACAGTGCAATATCCTGAAGCTTAGGAGAATCATCTTGGAATATGTCAATCAAGACCTTCAAAGCAGGACGGGACTCCAATTGAAGAACCGATGGCATTTCTCTCGAAAATGCAAATGCTTTCCCATTAACAATGAATGGTGGTTGGGCTTCAAACCCATCATAAAACTTGGTAGGTGCAGCAGTATGAAGAATTTGGAATTGACCCCTAGAAAATGGTGAAAATGTTAAATTCAGATTAGTAAAACTGTAACCTTCAGATAATACTTGCAATAACTTCCTCAAATGATTGAGACTTGCACATGGTACCCATAACAATCTCTTTAATCACAGATTTCTATAGTTTACCAATTGTTAACATTTATAAGCTCACTACCCAACATGCCAATATCTGTCGTATGGAATTGAGTTCATTGTAAAAGGAAGGGGCAAAACATTTTTTGCAGACATAAATATTCGAAATTGAAGACAAAATAACAAAAGCACACTACAAACATGTAAATTTATTTAGTTTCTAAGCACCCATGTACATAGTCATTGCTGAAACTGAAACTGATTCGAAGATGTTGTAATTCGTAAATAGTAATATATAAGATTGAAAGGAAGAGACTTTCCTTCTTATGGATCTTTTGAAGGAGGATTTACTAAAGACATAACACCAATAAAATACGAATCCAATCTAGACACAACACCAATAAAATACGAATCCAACCCACACATAAGAGATTGACACCACCTCTAATCCAAAATCTTAAATAATGGGTTTTTGAGTCTTCTTTCTTCTTTCTAACACGATACTCAATTTTTTCATCTTTACTCATTTAGAAGTATTTCAAACAACAAATACCTTTTACTTGTAGTGATATTTATCATAACGAGACACACTTACCTTACTATCTGTCAAGAAGACTTCTGATATAGAGACTAATCTAAATCGATCATATAGATTAATCACATCTTTAATACCATTGATAGATCTTTTGAAGAAGGATTACTAGGGAAACATAACACTAATGAGACATGAGCCTAACTCACACATAAGGATTAACAATATTTCCAACCCAAAATCTTAAGATAATGGATTTATGGGTCTTATTCTTTATATGTGACTCAACTTTTTCATCTCTACTTAATATGAAGACTTAGACTCATACTTGGATTTTCCAACACATTAGCATTTCTCAACATATTCTCACTAAGGGGAATAACAATTTAAGGGAAATAGTTATCCATGATAAGTGAAGAGAGAGGTACGTACCTCCAAGTAGTAATTGAACACGGTAAAAATTTACAATCAAGGTTTAAGCTTTGCTGAATACTCTTGTCATATTTTTTAATGGTGAACTGTTTACCGTCATCATTAACACAAGGGATACCACCTATAGAAAAGAGAGAGAGAGAAACAGAGCAAAATAAAATGGAATAAAATACGAGATGATGGGTTCAAAAACCCAAAAGGTGCAGTAATACATACCATGATACACAGCAACATACATGCCCACATTTGCACGAAAATACTGAAGTAGATGCAACAAACAATTGAAAAAAAAACATCAGATATGACAGACAAGAAAAGTATCCTACCTGAGCCGACAATAGGGGAAGATTTTCTTGCGAGTAAAGCTTCAAAAGGTGCCGCTTTTGTAGGCTTCTCTTTCTGAGGATCATGGATTTGAACTTTTTTAGCAGGTGTCACTCCACCCATTGGTCGCTGGTTTTTTCCTAAACATATCTTTGATGGTCCTACAAGATCCATAGTCTCAATAACAAATCACAAACATGTGGTAAACTAGCACATCAAATGATTTTAACATTCTTTCTAAACTAGTCACGCTCTGGTTCCACACGTCTGTGTGCCAGTGGATGAAAATTAAATCTAACTAAATGTATGAAATTTGTTTAATACAATCCTGTCAAGTTATTAACATTAACAGCATTTCTATTTAATTTTATCATAAAAATACCTAAATCAGCAAAAGGGGAAGAATTTCTTGTTGATGAAGCTTCAAAAGGTGCCTTGTTTGCAAGCTCTTCCTTCAGAGAATAATAGTCTTGAATATTATGATCAGCTATCACTCTACCAAGGGACTGTTGATTTTCTTCTACACACTCCTTTGTTGGTCCTACATGAGATTCAGAAAATATGTCATCTCCTTAATTATAATAATTTGTTTGCCAAAGAATACACCAGATAAATCATGAATTGATATCAGTTGTATATAAAAGATTCCTTACCTTAAAAGGCTACGCAAATCAGGCAAAAGGATATTTGTAATGATGACAAGTAATTATCTATAAATGTTCTGATCATTATTGTTTCTTTGGTTTGATTCATTCTTCCTTTCACGTTTTCATGGTGAGGCTCGTGGTTTCTATCTAGTACCTGTTCTCTGCCCGGGATTTATGGTTTTGTTCAAGTTGCGATTTTTATTTGTGCTCACAGTTCATATTCCTGTCGTGATTTTTGGTTCCCATTTGTGTTGTGGTTTTATGGTTGTGCTTGCGGTTTCATTCTTACTTGTGGTTCCAATTTGTGTGTGACTTTTGTTCTTGCTCGTATTCGTGACTTTTTCTTTTCGCTTGCACTTCTTCAACCTAGTTTGTTGCATTTTCGTAATGCTTCTTCACAGTTTTCTTTATTTCATTGGGACCCTGTTGCTTGGCCATCATAACAACTTCAAATAAAGACAATTTTTGTGTGTTTTAGTAACAAGGATTATGGAGTCACTTATATGGGTTTTCCAGGCCATTGATGTCTCGGAGTACAACCCCACTCTCCGCCAACTATAACCTACTCTTTTATTAACTACAATAACTACATGAGTACATTAGTGGTAGGAGTAATGTCTAACTGATGACACAACCATTTTAATTATATTAATTTTCTTTTATCAACCAACCACCTTAATTGAGGGGATGTCAATCAGCAAATCTTTTATCTCCTTAATTATATTAATTTGTATAACTAAAAGAGGATACTAATTCAGGAATTAGGGTATTTGTAATCATGAATAGTAATTATTTGTATATACTCCTATCACTATTTACATAACGAATACATTTCCCCTACAAGATTCATTGTCTCATAATAATAAAAAAAATTATGGTAAACTTGCAAACCCAAGGCATTAAATACTTTTCCTAGATCCAGTTACACTATGGTTCTATATGACTAATTGTGTAAATTTATATACAATGACACGGAATGAAAATGAAACAGAGTAAATGTATGATAACACTCTTTTTAAAAAACAATCATGGTTATTAAATTAAAAGACTAGTTCTGCTTAATTATATTATACAAATAAATAGGTCAGTTAGGCCATAGATCTCTAAAGGATTGCCTAACTTATTTCCACTCCATAAATAAGTGCAAGTTCATAAGCACAGTGGTTCAATTCCATCAAAACAGATTAAAGCAAAGACAAATTCAACCTCCACTTAAATTCTGTTTTTGAGAATAAGAACATGTATGATAAACGTTAAGAGGAAATACAAGAATGGAGATGACAGCAAAGGTGGAGAAAAATTCTCACCTTTTGATAACGAACAAGAAGCATGTTTACTAGTCATTGTTTTCTTGTGTATTTCATCATTTCTTTGATGTTTCCCAAGTACATTAGCAGATGAAACAGGATGACTTGCTCCAGAAGAGAGTCTAATGACTTCATCCTCTGTAAGTAACTTCACTTTTGCAGTTTTGTTTCTTTGATACATTTTAGAAGCCCTTGAGCCAATACCCTGATCCTCTTTAAGTGGCGAAGTTGACACACACTTGGATCCGCAAGCCTCACAGACCCAATATTCTGGAATTATTAAGGTATGAAATTTCGTGCAATAACTGAAATAGTTTGAAAATAACATGAAACAAGATATCAAAGGCACTTAAAGAATGAATATAAATAGACAAAAAACGAGAATGGTATGTGGAAGATTATTACGCATGTTCATGTCCTCCTTTGCATTTAGAACAAGTAAGTAGTACTTCTTTCCAACCAATAGCACCACATATCTCACAACATGCAGCCTGCAAAGAATAACAAACACATAAATATAAATATCTATTACAAAGAATAGCCAAATTAGTGAAACAAAGTCTTAAATATATACAATTATTCAAACCAACCAATCTAGAATGAGTAGAATGTCTTGCAAACATGCAAAACCAATAAAGAAAAAATGACTTGTATACATTTCAGTTTCAGAAAAAGTTTGCATTCTAGGAAGAAAAACAAAAGTTAAATATGTAAATTGAAACGTCCAACTTCTACAAAGACAATTGGTTCTTGAAGATATGTTAAAAAATTATGCAACATACTAACAAAACAAGAATTTCTCTTTGCTGTATTGAACATGTATTTCAATTATTTGAACTAAACAAAATTCTTACTCTAAGGGTCATGTAAAGATGTATGATAGTGCAAATGCTAATTGGATGAACTATGTTTGAGACAGACATTCTATCAAAATACACCGAATTCTCTTTAGAGGAAATTTGACATCCATGAAAAACCAGAAACAAACTGTAATTCTCAAGTGAAGTGGAAAATATAAACATAAGAAAGATTAAAATGTATAGAATTACAGCTAGTGAAGTTTATGTGTGATAATGCAGCAACCTTGAACATTCTATCAAAACACCGAAGATTGATTATCACTTTGTAAAGGAAAAGAAATGAGTGTGAAACAATTGGTATTGGTTTGTAAAATCAGCAAATCCCCACTACCCATAAATGATTCAAATGTAAAAGCTATCACATTTGTGATTTATTTAAGAAAGAATTAATAACACTGTTCAAAATCAATGAAGTAATAAGTAACAAGTGATGTGAAATTTTGACCCTTAAACAAATTACACAATACACTAATGTAAAAATGACCAAATCCCAACAGCCCATCACTGATATTAACAGCACAGTAACAATAAAAAATATAATCAATGAAAATAATTAATTAATAAACAAACAGACAAAACTATAAAGAAATAATAATAAAAAAAACAAGAAAATTATAGCAGAATGAGCTCTTGTATTCTTTTTGTTTACATTGTCATCTTCTTTGTGTGACTTCATTCCTTCTGGAAAAAGTGTGAACTGAAAAGGAAGACAAATCGACAAAGGGTGAGTCCGAACAACCTTTAATTTTTTTTTAAAGGCATGTGATTAAAACAGTGTTTGGAGAATGCCGGTAGCATAAGCAGAAGTATAAAAAAAAATAAAAAAGTGTTTTTCTGGAAAATTTTGTGTGAACTAAAATGGAAGAGAAAAAACTATGGAGGTGACTCCTGAGAAGTTTCATACTATTTCTTTTAAAGGAATGCATGTAACTGAAAAATGTTGGAGAATGATGGAAAACAGAACACAAAAAATGATGTCTTGCTTAAATAGGTACAAAGCAAATAATAGGAAAAAGGGATGTAAGAAAGAAATTCCTCCGACGACAACATTACTACAAATGGAAGAAAACACTTAGTTTGTATTTGAGGTATAGAATACGTTATGGTGTAATTCTACTTACAGCAACAAGCTCAAAACAATGTCAGTGTAAGATTGTGCAAAACTTCCTCTAAGTTTTCACTCTTCAGTGACGAGACGTTTCCTATTATATTTGACAGAAAACAAATATGTGTAAAACAAATCAAAATATTGTAAGTGACGTTTCAAATTATATTCATTTTAAATAGAATTATAAAAGAATATTGTAAGAGAAAAATGATTGCTATAAGAAATATTTAGCTTCACTTATCTCTATACTTTTCATGATAAAATTATTTAGGGTTAATATTTTAAGACAAATACAATTTAGAAAATGATTACATGTTGAAATTCTCTTCTGAAATTATATTTTTTAAATGAATTAATAAAAACAAATATTAAAATTTATATTTTTATTATAACTTTTGATAAATATTTCAGAAAAACTTGAGTATTTATTTTATGATTTAAGACAAAATATATTCATTTCTTTAAACAAATATTTAAATTACATTGCACTTTTAAATAATTATTTAATATTTCTTTTCTCTTACTTTATAAATAGTTATAACTTAGTTTATATTATTGTAAACAAACCTTAATAATAATGAATATCATTAATAATTCTTTTAGATAAATTTATTATTGATTTTATATGCATAGAAAATAAAACAAAATAAAAATTTAAAATCTCTTGGTATTTTCAAAATTTTATAAAAAAAAAACTCAATTTCATATTAAAGTCTAAAAACTTATGATATATATATATATATATATATATATATATATATATACACTTATTGATGAAAGAGTAAATAATACAGAACCGAAGGAGCACAAGTATCCAATTAAAAAAAAATATAAAACATCAAACAAAAAACATTTATCCAAAATTCACTATGTATCAACAAAATAATTTAATAGTGTGTGCAAGTAATAAATATTAGACACTAAATTATGTTTAAGGGATAGGTTCCTTTTTAAAATTATTAAATTAATTTTTTTATTGATAGTATTGCATTTATGATATGATGGGTATATGAGATTAAAAGAATATAAAATAACAAATAAAAATATTTTTCTAAAATTCACTATATATAAAAAAACATATTAATAGGTTGTGCAAGTAATAAATATTAGACATTAAATTATGTTTAAGAGATAGCTTTCTTTTTAAAATTATTGAATTAAATAAATCCTTTATTGATGGGATCAAATTCTGAAATTTACACATATATAATGGATAAATATACGTTTAAACAAATATAAAATAACGAATAAAAAATATTTATCTAAAATTCAAATATATATATATATATTAACTATGTCTTAAATCTTTTAATTTTCAGTAAAAATTGAAATTAATTCTTTTTAAAATTTGAACAAATTTAGTCATTCATTTTTTCTTAAACTTAACCAAGTTTAGTTAAAAAAAATTAAATATGTGTTTTCTTAAACATGGGAGATTAAACTAGACCAAATTTTAAAATGCACTATTTTTAATTTTTACTAAAAGTTAAGGACAAAAACATATTTATTCTTATAAAAGAAATAATTTAATAGTGATTTAATCATTAAGAGAGTTCATGTTTTCGGTGACATTTTTCAAACCTATCTCAATTTATTTTATTTTTGTTTTAATTAGGTCTCTATTTTTGTAAAATTGTTTCAATTAAGTCATTGTCCTGCTAGTTTCAAACTAATACCATTAAAAAAGTGTCATGTATTGGTTCATGTTTTGTTGAATTTTTTAAATATTTTTTAATTTTTTAAATTTTCATTTTTTAATATTTTATTTTGAAAAAATATTTTTTTTTGCCACGTGTCATGATAAGATTTGTGTCACATGATAATGATAGTGTGACATGATATTGATATTGTCACGTGTCACTATCAGACCACATGTCATTGGATTGGCATTCTGATTACTAACGACCCAATCATGGATCAATTTGTATTAATCATGTTTTGTTGTAAGTTAATCATTATCAAGTCTAATACTTCTTTAAGGTAATCGTTCAATCTGTAGTTACGACCGTTTAGTCTTGGAGATGGTCTTTGTGGTCATTCTTGTGGTATTCATGACCGTATGGACCGTCTGATCCATAGTTGACTGGATGGTCGTACAGTATAGGCCCCCAAGCCTGAGCATATAATGATAGGCAAAGGGGTTTGGGATGGATGGTGTTTAGGCACATTCAAGAGTGCTTTGGTCTTTTTGTGATCGGTTGGTTGAACGATTGCAACTACAAGCCGTGATTCAAGGGGTTATAACAATTGAGAGGAAGTTACAACCATTAAGTGTTAGCAAAATCTTGAAGTTAGAAGTTTTAATGATGTCCAAATTAAGTCTCAAGTGCTCAAGTTGCAAGAAGATCTTCCTAAAAACTTGTGTTGTGTGTTAAAACTTTTTTAATAAGTAGATTTTTGTATAAGGTTGTATTTGTTGTTGATTCCTTGTATTGTTTGCTTTAAATTTCATTTTGTAGTCACAAAAACTCTACAATAATCTATTAGCACTTAAGATAATCGATTATCACAGAGGTTTTTAAAGTTTACTAAAAATTCATTTTGTCTCTGAAATAATCGATTACCAACCTATGATAAACGATTATCCATAATCGATTATAATTTACAGTAATCAATTATCACGACTAGCCATTGGAGTTTTTAGACATATTTTTGGACGTTGTGCATTCATTAAATGCATAATTGATTACCATAAGTAGATAATCGATTATCACGCGTTAAATAGATAACAAGAAATTTTTAGAGGAGTCCTCGAGTGAGATATTTATATATTGATTTGAGACTCTCATTCTAATACACAAAAACTTATTTGATTGCTTTTAAGTTGTTAAAAGTGTATTCTAAGGACCCTTGTGTTGTGACTTTGAGAACTTGATGTTGGCATATAACTAGAACTTTCACTAGGAGTGTGATTGAGTGTTGTTGCTATTGGTGAGTGAAGTCTGTCATCCTTTGTGAAGAGTCAAAGGAAGTGTCCATCCTTCATGAAGCATTTGGAGGAGGTATTCATCCCTTGTACCTTCAAGGAAAGTGAGTTTAATATCTTGTGGTAATAAAAGAGATGTTTCTAAACCTTAAACTTATTTTTCTTTGTGATTGTAACAATTTATTGGTTTGATGCTAATGGAAAGTTAATCTCCATTTGGGATTACCGATTGGACGTAGAATCCTTGAGATCTGAAGTAGTATAAAATTCTATATGAAATGTTATTTCTTCCTTACTCTCTATTACTATTTTAATTATTTGCTAAGAAATTTAAAATAAAGAGAAAATTATTAAAGACACAAATTTACGATAAGAAATCAATTCAATCCCCTTTTGGTTTGTTGTTCATACTAACCATTCTGCTACACCGCTCTAACACTAGAGCGGAATCGTGACGTATCACACATTAAGGAAATGAATATTCACGTGATGTGGATCGTCAGATCCTATTTGATCCAACAATTGAGGTTGGTCCATTAGGGTGCCCATATCAGCTATAAATATTGATGGAGCTATAAATATTGATGGAACTCGACGTCATTTTCACCACTATTATCAACCTTCAAGATAATAATATCGACTGCTCTCGTGTCTTCTGAGGAATCCAAGAGGAGGGGAGGCCGATGGTATTCAAATGGTGCATCATCGTGTCTGTGTCATCGATTGGTTACTCTATTTTCAAATCAACCAAGTGGGATGCAGAGTTGGAAGACAAGGCGGACCATGTAAATAGTGATAAGGTCGTCGTTTGATACAACACAAAAGCTACCACTAGAATAAAAGTGGATGCTTCAGGAGAATGGGATGGATCGTGCGCTTGTACTGCCCATTTCGGGGTACGGTTGAGCTCCTCATCTCTTTATGATGCAGCACACACCAATAACCAGATGTCTAAATAGATGACTGTTCCAAAATTAGACTAAAGTAGATGCAATATTCTTAGGTGGTAAGTTGTTTTTCTTCTCATTTGGTGAACAAACTTCCTACAAAATTTTGTTGAAGGATCCAAATGCAGTCTCAGGATATGATTTGGTTTGTACTTATGCAGTGTAACTATGAAGACTCGAAGGCTTTCTACTTCTGAACTTGGTTACCTTAAGATAGTTGTGAACCTTAGTTGTTTTACTAGGATTATGGTTTGTAATGATGTATAATGAACTTTAAGGTAAGTGTAATACAAAACATATGTGGCACGCAGCAATTTTCATGCAGACATTAAGGTAAATGCTTCAAAACATAGTGGAACAATAAGCAGTCTGTTATTACACTTTTCAAATAATAAGCCTCTTGGGTTTATCTTTCATAATGCGATCAACTTTTCCCTCCACATCTTTTCCTCCAATCATATCAATTTCCATATCAACTGGCTCCATGCCTTCATCACTGTTAAATTGGCGAAACACTCCCCATAGGAAATGTCCAGCCTTTACTTCAGCAATAACACCTGCCCACACTAGTTAATGTCAACAAATGTTGATTGTTTAATGCAAGCAAATGGGACAAACAAATTCCAAATAAGGTTACGTTAAACATCACTATAAAATTTCGCATTTCAGCTAAGAAACCTATCAATCATTTGCCATTACATGAAAATTTATTAAAAATAAAAAAAATACAAAGCATAAGAAACCAACAAAACTCACGATAAAAATTAATATTTCAAACCTGCTCTCTCCTCCCTGAATTTTGATGTGAAATATACATTAATGGAAGGGAATTGTAGATCAGGGTGTAAAGAAAAAGCAGAGTTAATGAATGAAGCCGTTCAGTTTACGTACCCCTTGAGTCTATGTCAAGTTGATTTGACGTAAATACTAGCAACTCCACTCCACGAATAAAACTTCTTAGCATTGCTTTCTTGTCATTCATAAACTTCAATATGTCATTCAGGTCCTTTCTGAACCTACACTCAATTCAGAACATGTAGGATAAGTAGCTTAAACCGCAACTGTCCACATGGCTGACACCAAAAAGAAAAAAGGAAAATGAAAAAGATCAAGAAAATAGGAAGAAATGACCTATCAGTATGTTCTGATGGAAAGAAGTACAATGCAATATCCTGAAGGTTAGGAGAATCATCTGGGAATATGTCAGTCAAGACATTCAATGCAGGAAGTGACTCCAGTTGCAGGACTGATGGCATTTCTCTTGAAAGTTTATATGCTTTCTTGTTAACAATGCATGGTGGTTGGGCCTCAAACCCATCATAAATTATGCTAGATGCAGCTGTTTGAAGAATTTGGATCTGACCCCTACAAAATGGTCTACAACATGTTAAATTTGAGATGAGTAAAACTGTAACCTTCACCCAACTAAATGCTTGCTGTTTCAAGTATCATATTCTTGCAGTAAATTCCTCAATTAATGGACACTTGTACATAGTAGCATAGCAACCTCTGGTCTCATATAATGCTAGGAAATCATATAGAGAACTGCTTGTTTTGATAATAAATAAGAATCTAGCCTATGTTCTACTCACAGAAGTGTTTTTGAGCAGCCAGAAAGTTTGAATTTACTAACAAACGCAGTTTTAAAAAAAGAAAATAATAATAATAAGCGTTCAATAATTTAGCAGCAGTCAAGATGAAAGTGATCCAACAAGTTCACACCACGGAGAGTAGAAGGGATTTTGTTAGGAAATGTCCGGACAAGTATCGTCACCACCATACAAGAACCATGCCCTTATAATGCAGCAACAAGTTGATGAGAAATAAAAATTACAATAAAAATACTTTATCATATTAAGCGGTTGTCTACTACATGAATCACACATCTTCGGACTTACTTAGAAACAAAATTTTTAAGAATACTATTTATCATGAAATTCTATGATATAATTTCCCAAATGTCCTTCATGTCTCCTATCTGTTGTCATAGATTTAAAAATCATGCAATCTACTCTCCCTATTAGTGTCTCCCCTCCACTAACCTATGAAGTCTGAATACTCTAAAATAGCAAAAGTATGGGTGTTGTAGTAGTGTTGAAAACTGATATGCTGGATAAGTATTCTAAAAATATCCCATTTTTTAAAACCAAAGATACGGTTGTAATAAGCCTACGATATAATTGCAGCTTATTAAGATGAAGTTTGTATTTTATTTATATATTATAATTTGACTATAATTTGACTACTCTAACATAGCTAATTATAAAAGGTCATGGCTCAAGTCACATTCAAATACGGCTTCAATACAACTATTTTCTATATTTTGAATTTAAATTTTGAATATTTCGAATTAAAAAAATTAGATTTATATAAAATAGAACATGTTACCTCCTTTGTTGGTACATCGAGCGCATTCCTTGTAAGAAAGAACACATAAAATAAACTAGCCTTCTTTCCTCTTATTTTTCCTCTTCCTATTCCCCATTTACTTGGCCTTTAAACTTAATAGAAGTGTACATATTTGTGCCAATATGTAATTTGTTCTTAATGTAAGGTATATTACTAGATTTAGTGTATCGTTAATTTCAAACAAATTGTCCCATCACATATTGGGGCTTCATAGTAAGTAACCTTTTTTTTTTTCACATGTCTAAAACTTTAAAATACCTTAATTGATTTTCTGTCATCTTTTTCTTAATAGGTATTACACTTATCTCCTCATGTATCCTTTATAGGTACGGTACAGAGCAAGAGCATTGAGAATTGTAAAGAAATTCTAATTTATGTTTATTTCAATAAGGAGCTAAGGTTTGATTGGATGAGTTTTTCCATAAAGATTTATAGAAGAGAAAAATAAAATAAAGAAATTGAAATTAAATTCTCCATGAATTAAAATTAATTTATGCACAAGCTAATTTATAGAAGTTCTCTCATATAACTTCTCTAAATCCTTATTTTTAATTTGTGCTTAGGTTATGGAAAAGCTTATGTAGTTTTTTCTTCTTATTTTTCTCTTCAAGAAATTTGTACAGAAAAGTTATTCCAAAGAGATCCTAGACACATTAAACCTAATTCTACATGTTCCAATAGTTTATTTGAGATTTCATAGAGGTTCCTATGTTTTACCAATTGTAATAGAATGTCATTAACTCTTCGGACTTAATCACGAACTTTACAAGATCAAAACCATTTATTTTAACAAAAATAAGCATATATATCTTGCAAATGTGATTGCTTGTAATTATACCCTAACATGGCCGTATTTGTTTATGGAATGGATTATTTACCACCGTAAAGGGAAGGAACAAAACTTCATAGATATTCAAAATAAGATAAAAAGTCCAAGCATAAAAGCTCACAGCTTTCATCCACCCATGGACACGGTCATTCCTGAAACTGAATCTACTTGAAAGAAGTAATTCGTAAATGGTAAAAGATAAAATTGATGAGATCCGATAGTTCCAATCTCATTGTAATCACCATACGAAATTTAATGTGCATTAGGAAGGAAGAGCGATGCAAGGTAAAAAGGTTATCAATGACAAGTTTAAGGCAAAAAAGAAGGTACATACCTCCAAGCATGAATTGAGGAGGGTAAAAATTCACGATAAAGGTTTAAGTTTTTCTGAATACTCTGAGGGTCACTCTTTTCAATATTAGACCTGTTACACTCAGCATGGTCGCTAGGTTCACCACCTAAGGAAGAGAGAGAGCAAAAGGAAAGGTAATAAAATAAGATATGACAGCTTGAGAACCCCACAAGATGCAAGTGACTAACATCATCATATATCATTCATATACTATATAATGTTAGACTTAAACACAAGAGGAAAGTCCAACCCAAAAAAACTAGTTCATTAGATGGAAGAACCTCAAGAATTAAGTACCACATCATATAGTTTATCCTACTCGATATAGAACTCCTAATACATACATAATACAACCCTTACATTTGCACCTAGAGATGTTAGGATTTAACACCAGTTAAAAGCATTACGCGTAACATAGAATGAAATCATATAAAGAAAAGTATCCTTGCTAACCAACAATAGGGAAAGATTTCGTTGCTGATAAATCTCCAAAAGGGGCATCTTTTGTAGCCTTTTCTTTCTGAGGATCATGGGCCTGTACATTTTTGCCAGCTACCAGTCCACCAAAGAGTTGCTGATTTTCTTCTATACACTCCTGTGTTGATCCTACTAGAACCATAGTCTAATTAAAAAACAAATCACAAACTTATCTCCTGGTAAATTTCAAAAGCAGAAGATTTAATACATTTTTTTTCTAAACCAGTCATACTGTGGTTCTATATCTCTGATAGTTCAAACTCTTATACAGTCAGTGCCAGTGAATGGAAATTAAATTTAGACTCGGGATCTGTTATTACAAATTTCTACAAAAGCACTTATACGAGAGAAAAATAAAATGAGTTTCTCAATAAGCTAAAATTGGCTTATGCACAAGTTAAAAGTAAGAAAAGTTATGAAAAGCTTTTACAAATTAGCCTACTAATGAGCTAATTTTACCTCATGAAAAATCTCATTTCCTTTTTTCTTCTTATTTTTCTCTCCAAAAAGTGTTATTGCAGAAATGTATCCAAAACAGACTCTTTATATCTGATAACTTCTTTTAAAACAATCCAGAGAGTTATTAACTTAAATATTATTTCTCTTTAATTATACATACAAATGAAATGAATCCAAGCAGTGGGTGTAAGAAACTCTGACTAGACAGGAATGAGCATGCTCAAGTCCACATTTTATTTCCATCAAATCAGATTAAAACCAAGGCAAGTTCAGCAGACTTAAAACTTTGTGCTTTCATGAACGTGCACCATAAATGCTAAGAAAAATAGACATGGAAGCAAAGATGGAGAGAAATTCCCACCTTTAAACAATGAGCAAGAATCATGTTGGTTAGTCATTGTCTTCTTGTGTACTTCATTATTTCTTGGAAGCTTCCCAAGTACTTTAGGAGGTAATATGGGAGGATTTGATTTTGCAGTCAGGGAGGGAATCTTGGAAATAACATTTTTGGATCCACCAGAAGCCTTCGCAGAAGAAAGTCTAATGACTTCATCCAAGTCAAGGTACTTCACTTTGGCTCTTTTGACATATGGTTTCCTTTTACTAGCACACGAACCAACATCCTGGTTCACTTTACAAGGTGAAGTTGAATCATGCTTGGGTTGGCAAGTCTCACAAAGCCAGTCTTTAGGAATTATTGTGGTATTAATTTGAATGCAATAACTGAAATGGGATGGATATAGCATTGATTAAGAAAAAAGGTTCTATGCTGCACTTATGCTACTGCAAGGCATATATAATGAAACATAGGCCAAACCAAAGCCAATAATTTGCCAAGCCATACAAAAATGCGTAAAATGATTATGCCAAATTAAATTGTAAATTTGCACTTTTTTAGTCTTTCTTCATTCTTGTTAATAATGCAAATATTTACAGTTTTTAGGTTTTCAAGCTTCCATGCAAAAAGAATGCAAATTCAGATAGGACAGATATACCACTTGCCTGCTTTTTTTTCTCATTTTTTAGTTTTCTTAATAAGACAAGAAAGTAATTATGCCACAAAAATTAAAATACTGAAAGAAAATAAATAATTATATGAAAGAGAATGGCCAATTTGAGATCATTACGCATGTCGAATCACACTGCATTTAGAGCAAGTAACAACTTTTTCTATCAAACCACGAGCCCCGCATGTATCGCATTGTTCAAGCTGCAAGGAATAATGAACTTATAAATATATATCTGATTAAGTCCAATTAATGTCATACTCCATAAATATAAGGGAAGCGAGGGGATATATTATGATGGAAAAGCTAATTCGGTGAACTCTTCTACAGGGAGATTCAATTTGAAGACACTGATTTTCTTTGGAGGAAACTTGATACCCAAGAAAAGTACAAAGCAAATTGCAATTCCAAAGTCAAGTGGGAGAGATAAAAAACAAATGTTAAGACAGGTTAACGAATATGGAAGACTACCGTTAGGAACCAAGAATTGAAAAGAGAAAGCAACAAAAATAAGAAATAGGAAAGTCCTCTCTCCTTCAAAAAGTTTCCCTCATAAAGGATTTCTCCATTCACAAAGAGCTAATGCTGAATGTACAAAATGAACATCATTCCTCTCTCCTATCCCTCTTCCCTTATTTATATCTTACTGACACCTCAATTAACTAATTAACTCATTAATATTCTAACTAACTTGACTAACTTCTCCTTACACCCTAACAATCCAACCTTCCTAAAATTCAACCTTATCCTCAAGGCTGGAATTGTGGAAGCTAGATCCCATGTTCATCTTCATCCCCATAACCTTCATCTGCCCACCTAAAAGCATTGGAATGCTTTCTTGCCATAGGAATGGGAACCCACTGTCACAACATGCAAGCACAGGTTTGGCGGCTTTGGTGGTGGTCAGGACGAAACTAGAATCTGTATGACATGAAGCACTATTACTGCCACTTAGACCTCCTTTTTCACTGATTCCATTGCTGAGTTATCATCCATAGACACATCAAAGTTTAATGCCAAAGGCTCACCCAACTCATTGAAATTCTAATATTCCAATACCATAGATGTTCGAATCACCTTCATGATTAAATATGAGCTCAACAAAGAATTTTTATTATGGAAATGTTAATTTTAAAAACAGTTATGCGCGGTTGCATCTCCACCTTCAGGTTCATTTTTGTTTAAATCAAAAATTGCGTTATCAAGACTCTAATCTTTACAGCCCACAATTTTCATTCTCTTTATTGATGCATCCACTTCTTCCTCCATCATAATCTTTGTTTCTCTTGCTAATTCACTTCATTTTTGTTTTCTTCTACACTACAAAGAATGTGAGTTTTTATTATTGAACCTTCTTTATTCTATTTTTTGATTTCAAGAATTGCAATAGGTTACCATCACACTTTAAAATTGTTACTCTTTGACTCCGTTTCCCCTTCTATGCTTCTACCAAAGGTGTGTAGCTCCAACCTTTTTGTCCAACAACTGGCCTCCACTTCAATGCATTTTGATCCACTTTCCTCCATTTATATATTTGTCTTGCTCAATCAAATGTGGATCACCCTCTTCATTCAATATCTTGGGTAGCATGTGTTTCAGCTCTAAAATGTTGGTCCTCTCTTTCAAGAACACTGAGGAAGTTTCCATTTCTTTGCCACAAACTTCCATCTCGGTTTACTCTCTTTGCTTCATGGCAGTCAACCATTCAATGATGTGGCTACCACAGCTATCTCTGAATAGAAGCAAAGCATTGCCATGCCCTCCATGCTCAAGGATGCATATTGTGGCTTATGCAATGAATGAATTTTTTGCACCTCATGAATTTTTCAGCCCTAGCAATCGATCTGCACCCAAAATCTACTAAAATGAGCACCCCTCTTCTCTTCTCTTCTTCTTCCCCTATTCATATCTAGCTAACACCTTCAAGTAACTAACTAACTCATTAATATCCTAATTATCTCCTAACTAAATTGTCCTTATGCCCTAATAGAAACAGTGAAGTTTGTAATTGATAACCTAGCAACCTTAAGCAACTCCAAAACTAGTATTCTATCAAAAGCCGTGGTGATAAACACTCAGAAAACTGTCCCCTTGAAAACTATTTTTTAAGGGGAGAGGATCAAACATTTAAGTACTTCATCGAGCATCCCAAACTACTCAAGCTGACACTTAATGCCACTTCAGTTTGCCTTTCTAGCCAGCTCCACTGTAGAGAGCCCTTTCTGAAAAACCGAAAACAAGTTTTGATACCAATTGATAAGCAGTAGGAGAACCCTCTCTTAAAAGATAAGAAGTGATAATAAAAATATGAGCATATCAAACTACTCCACGGGAGACTTAACCCAAATCTCCATCATACCACCCTACCCATGTTTGTGTGCATTTGAGCAACCATCCCTTAAAAGCTAGTTGTTGTTAAGAGAGGAAGAATCAAGTATAAAATTACTTCATCAAGCATCCTTTAATACCATGTGTGGGACTTATACTCCCTATAATACCCAAGTCCTTATTGTACCACCAGCCCCTATGCAGATTGTTCTTTTCAACACACCAACAATATACGTTGATACCAATGATAAGCATCCAAACAATTGGGGAACCACCCCCCCCCCCCTNCCAAGCAGTGGGTGTAAGAAACTCTGACTAGACAGGAATGAGCATGCTCAAGTCCACATTTTATTTCCATCAAATCAGATTAAAACCAAGGCAAGTTCAGCAGACTTAAAACTTTGTGCTTTCATGAACGTGCACCATAAATGCTAAGAAAAATAGACATGGAAGCAAAGATGGAGAGAAATTCCCACCTTTAAACAATGAGCAAGAATCATGTTGGTTAGTCATTGTCTTCTTGTGTACTTCATTATTTCTTGGAAGCTTCCCAAGTACTTTAGGAGGTAATATGGGAGGATTTGATTTTGCAGTCAGGGAGGGAATCTTGGAAATAACATTTTTGGATCCACCAGAAGCCTTCGCAGAAGAAAGTCTAATGACTTCATCCAAGTCAAGGTACTTCACTTTGGCTCTTTTGACATATGGTTTCCTTTTACTAGCACACGAACCAACATCCTGGTTCACTTTACGAGGTGAAGTTGAATCATGCTTGGGTTGGCAAGTCTCACAAAGCCAGTCTTTAGGAATTATTGTGGTATTAATTTGAATGCAATAACTGAAATGGGATGGATATAGCATTGATTAAGAAAAAAGGTTCTATGCTGCACTTATGCTACTGCAAGGCATATATAATGAAACATAGGCCAAACCAAAGCCAATAATTTGCCAAGCCATACAAAAATGCGTAAAATGATTATGCCAAATTAAATTGTAAATTTGCACTTTTTTAGTCTTTCTTCATTCTTGTTAATAATGCAAATATTTACAGTTTTTAGGTTTTCAAGCTTCCATGCAAAAAGAATGCAAATTCAGATAGGACAGATATACCACTTGCCTGCTTTTTTTTCTCATTTTTTAGTTTTCTTAATAAGACAAGAAAGTAATTATGCCACAAAAATTAAAATACTGAAAGAAAATAAATAATTATATGAAAGAGAATGGCCAATTTGAGATCATTACGCATGTCGAATCACACTGCATTTAGAGCAAGTAACAACTTTTTCTATCAAACCACGAGCCCCGCATGTATCGCATTGTTCAAGCTGCAAGGAATAATGAACTTATAAATATATATCTGATTAAGTCCAATTAATGTCATACTCCATAAATATAAGGGAAGCGAGGGGATATATTATGATGGAAAAGCTAATTCGGTGAACTCTTCTACAGGGAGATTCAATTTGAAGACACTGATTTTCTTTGGAGGAAACTTGATACCCAAGAAAAGTACAAAGCAAATTGCAATTCCAAAGTCAAGTGGGAGAGATAAAAAACAAATGTTAAGACAGGTTAACGAATATGGAAGACTACCGTTAGGAACCAAGAATTGAAAAGAGAAAGCAACAAAAATAAGAAATAGGAAAGTCCTCTCTCCTTCAAAAAGTTTCCCTCATAAAGGATTTCTCCATTCACAAAGAGCTAATGCTGAATGTACAAAATGAACATCATTCCTCTCTCCTATCCCTCTTCCCTTATTTATATCTTACTGACACCTCAATTAACTAATTAACTCATTAATATTCTAACTAACTTGACTAACTTCTCCTTACACCCTAACAATCCAACCTTCCTAAAATTCAACCTTATCCTCAAGGCTGGAATTGTGGAAGCTAGATCCCATGTTCATCTTCATCCCCATAACCTTCATCTGCCCACCTAAAAGCATTGGAATGCTTTCTTGCCATAGGAATGGGAACCCACTGTCACAACATGCAAGCACAGGTTTGGCGGCTTTGGTGGTGGTCAGGACGAAACTAGAATCTGTATGACATGAAGCACTATTACTGCCACTTAGACCTCCTTTTTCACTGATTCCATTGCTGAGTTATCATCCATAGACACATCAAAGTTTAATGCCAAAGGCTCACCCAACTCATTGAAATTCTAATATTCCAATACCATAGATGTTCGAATCACCTTCATGATTAAATATGAGCTCAACAAAGAATTTTTATTATGGAAATGTTAATTTTAAAAACAGTTATGCGCGGTTGCATCTCCACCTTCAGGTTCATTTTTGTTTAAATCAAAAATTGCGTTATCAAGACTCTAATCTTTACAGCCCACAATTTTCATTCTCTTTATTGATGCATCCACTTCTTCCTCCATCATAATCTTTGTTTCTCTTGCTAATTCACTTCATTTTTGTTTTCTTCTACACTACAAAGAATGTGAGTTTTTATTATTGAACCTTCTTTATTCTATTTTTTGATTTCAAGAATTGCAATAGGTTACCATCACACTTTAAAATTGTTACTCTTTGACTCCGTTTCCCCTTCTATGCTTCTACCAAAGGTGTGTAGCTCCAACCTTTTTGTCCAACAACTGGCCTCCACTTCAATGCATTTTGATCCACTTTCCTCCATTTATATATTTGTCTTGCTCAATCAAATGTGGATCACCCTCTTCATTCAATATCTTGGGTAGCATGTGTTTCAGCTCTAAAATGTTGGTCCTCTCTTTCAAGAACACTGAGGAAGTTTCCATTTCTTTGCAACAAACTTCCATCTCGGTTTACTCTCTTTGCTTCATGGCAGTCAACCATTCAATGATGTGGCTACCACAGCTATCTCTGAATAGAAGCAAAGCATTGCCATGCCCT